GAATTCTAAATATTACAGAACTACATGTGTCGAGTAACATTTAACTGAAACCTTTTTGTTTTTTTAAAAGGGAACTCCAGGACCAGGTACATATCAGCTCACCTGGCACAAAGGGCAGCGGAATAGCACTGACATTAAAATGAACAAGACCCACAACCTCCTTTTCCGCAGCATACCTTGAAATTTCCCCTCCCTTTTGCCTTTGGGTTTCCTATAATTCTTAATATCATTCATTTTTCTTCAACTTAGTTCCCTCAGTCATCAGGGGTCGCCACAGTGGAATGAACTGCCAACTTATCCAGCGTATGTTTTAAACAGGTGTGTTTTCAGGTGTATTACTGTATATTTTATGCTAGTTTGAATTCACAATAAATGAAATTAGATGAACTTAAGTGTTTTTGACCCGGTTATTTCTTACAGCTTTATTCAAATCATTGTAAAATAAAAACCCTTCACATGTCTTGTGAAATGTATGGACAAACATTTATTCACTCATTTTTTTTCCCTTCAGCTTAGTCCATGATTTATCTGGGGTCGGCACAGCAGAATAAACTGCCTACATGTCCAGCATGTTTTACAAAGCGGATGCCCTTCCAGCCGCAACTGGGAAACACCCATACACTCTCACATACTCATACACTACGGCCAATTTACTTTATTCAATTCACCTATACTGCATGTCTTTAGATTGTGGGGGAAACCGGAACACCTGAAGGAAACCCACGGCAATCCTCACAGAAACGCCAACTGGCCCAGCCGGGGCTCGCATCAGTAACTTTCTTGCTGTGAGGCGGCAGTGCTAACCACTAATAGTAACATTACCTTTGATTTATACAATTTTAATGATCTTTCTGAAATTTAGTACTTTAAACATAATTAGTTAAATGTTGAATTCATATAAACTTTAAATGGAAAATAAAATAAAAACTATAAAATTAAAATCTAATTCTTTACAAATTATTTAATATCTTTAATAACAATCTTTGTGTACTTGAAAAGCTTATTAGAAACTCTGGTTTCTTGTGTTAAAGTATACATTTTAAAGTTAAAATATTTAGACACGTGAAAGCGGATTCTCTCTAAAAAAATCTTAGTGGCTTTTGATTTCTTTAATATTTTGCACATTTTATTTAAATTACGACAGATCCAATTCTTGCATTTTGTCTGTGCAGTTTAAAAAAAAAAAAAAAAAAAAAAAAGGTCACTGTTTTGAAAATGTGTGTAAGCCATTGGAAAAAAAAACAAACAGTAAATCATTTCAACTGAAGGCGTGGAGAGGTTTTATTTTAGCTAGAAAAAGTAAAATAGCCACTGGAGTAACCTATTGACTGTTTACTTACACTTTAAATTGTATATATATATATATATATATATATATATATTCATTCATTTTCATTTTGGCTTAGTCACTTTATTAATCAGGGTCGCCACAGCGGAATGAACCCCCAACTTATCCAGCATATGTTTTACGCAGCAGATGCTCTTTCAGCCGCAACCCATCTCTGGGAAACATCCTTACACACACACATACACTATGGTTAATTTTAGCATACCCAATTCACCTGTACCGCATGTGTTTGGACTTGTGGGGGAAACCGGAGCACCCGGAGGAAACCCACACGAATATGGGGAGAACATGCAAACTCCACACAGAAATGCCAACTGACCCAGCCAAGACTTGAACCAGCGACCTTCTTGCTGTGAGGCAATCATGCTACCCACTACACATCCATGTCGCCTTATATATACTATATATATGTGTGTATATATATATATATATATATATATATATATATATATATATAAATTGAATAATAATTCATTTATTATTATTATCTTCACCCCGTATCACATGTATTTTCACAAGTATCAGACTTACAGTGATACAATAAATCATTTTAAAGCATTATATTTTCTTTTAAATATGGCAAGCCGTTTGCACATATAACTAATAAGATCTTTTACTAATAAGACATTTAGCAACATTTTGCTGCAGCTGCTTTGTCTTGAAATGCTTTCGGTTTACAAGCTCTTTCCTTTTCCACCTGGATGTTTTCTCTCCATCCTTGCATGTTTAACCTTTTTTTTTTAAATCAAAAAACAAAGCTATACATTTCTAGGCAGCAGCTGTCAGGGCTGTAACTCAATCTGGACACCTGACCCTCTCCAAGTCCTGGGTTCCACCCTAGTCAGGAGGAGCCACCCGTGAGTAACCAGAGAGCCATCTGAAACCCAGGACAATGTTGCAAACACACACACTGTGTTCTATGCACTTCACCTGGGCCCTCTGCAAGCACGTGAGCACCGCAGACTCTTTGAGAGGGCCTTGATGGAGGAGGAGGCCCAAGGAAGGAGCGCAAAAATGACTCTGAATCTCCCTTAAGAAATAAATACAATTGACGTTCATATTGTGTCTAGACATTTATCGCTATGCAGTGTCTTTAATGTGGTGGGATGGTCATTATTCCTGTCTCAGTGTGTTAAAAGTGGCTTGCAAGATGCCCGTGTCCAGGTTCAGCCTTGGCTAAGAGAGGCATGTGGGACACCCGTGTCTAGTTAATAAAGGTCCACAACCAACAGTGTCTGAGGATTTCACTAAAATTACCAAGTCCAAGTGTGAAAGTAAAAGACTAAAGTAAAGTAAAGCAGTGTACTGATGCTGGGACACGCTACCTGATAGATTCAAAAGACAGAAGAGTCGTTAGATTGAGACAAGATTAATTAAATATCACGTTTAACTACTTTAGTGAGACGCAATCCAGCGGTACATCCTTGATAAACTGTCCGACATGCACTGCTCTCTGGAGCTCAGACGAGCGCATGACAGTGTGTGTGGCTGTGTGTGTGGTCACATGATGTTTTCAGCAGACAGAGGGCTGTTCAGAAATGCTAGGTAATACAAGGTATGGATGTAAATCATTTTCGTTCTTAAATGCCATTTTAAAACTAAGACGTATTAGTGTAAACGGGGCCTGAGTGTGTATTTTTCGTGAGCGGGTTTGCGATGGGGGTGGGGTGGAGGATCAGCATCAGGGCCGGATTAACCAATGGGCCTTATGGGCACAGGCCCAGGGGCCCGTGCGCACTTGGGGCCCCTGCGAGGGGGGAGAAAAAAAGACAATTTCGGAGTGTCTTTTTAGGCTAATTGCAAATAGCGCATCTAGTTGGACCAAGCTATTCAGGGTTAACGCCCATCAATGCCTGATTGATAGAGACAAGATGAGTAAAGAGCTGTTTGATAATTCAGCAGCAGTGGCGCACCTTGTAAGGCGCACAGCATTATCTTTTGACGCGATTAATCATAACATCGGTTCGAATTCACCATCAGCTGAACTCGTGCTCCTTTTTTTCCCTCCCCATTACATATCAGATTGGAAATATATTTATTTTTAACAGGAAAGAAACATTTTTTTTAAATCATGCAAATGCGATATAAAGTCACAAGTGTCTCGTGGGTATTTAATAATGTTTAGCCTTATTATAGGCGCCTGCCGCGCCTCCCTCTCTTCAAAAACTATATTGCTCAGACAACTGTATTTCCTCTGAGCAAAAAAATCGCGATCACATATTAATATTATTATTATATTTAAATTGCCTTTCTTTCTTTAACTAAACAGAATGCTGTAATTGGTCAAGTGCGGAAACGTCAGTTTTGAAATAACCCGCACTAAACTGAGCGGACTTTAGTGTAACGTTATATCTGTCATAGATCAAAAATGAGTGGACAAGTGGATTTAGCAAACGCGAGAGAAAGAGGACAGGAGGCATCTTTATTGAGGCATTTTCCATACACACCATCTTTAAACAGACCCGTGATCAGGAGAAAGAGGGTACAGAAGAAGACGGTATGGTAACTTTAAATGATGAGAACTTAGCATTAACCAGGTGGAGGAGGCTAACGGCAGCGCAGCGCGGACTGGATTCATCGTGTGAGAGACAGACAGAAAAGAAGAGAGAGAGGGAGAGAGAGAGAAAGGCCCAGAAGAGGAGAGAGACGGGAGAGAAGAGGTATAGTGTCTGTGATTTCGGATACTTTTAGGTTTATAATCAAGTCTTCGTCACGAGAAGAGTAGAGAAAATACAGGGAGAGGAGGAGAGAGACAGTAAATCAGTGTTTGTATTATGAAAGACTCAGATTCATAGAACTCAGATTTATAGAACTGGATTGGAGAAGCATTGTGCGTTATATGCCATGGCAATAATATGCTTTATAAGTTTGTAAAAGCAATACACTAAAATACCCTTAAAAAAAAAAAAAAAAAAAAAAAAAAAAATATATATATATATATATATATATATATATATATATATATATATAGTTTTATTAGTATTTTTATTTAATGCTTTAAAAAATCATTTAAATCTTTGTAGACTATAAATGCATATGTACTATATATCATTTATTTAAATATGTGGGCAACAAATTATAGATTCATTTTATTAAAAAAATTATTATATTATTCTTATTTTTTTATTCAACTATAGGGGTGCGGCCAGGTAGGGGGCCTTACAAGATAATGTGCCCAGGGGCCCCTGAGTTCTTAATCCGGGCCTGATCAGCATCGTGTTGTCTATTGGCCATCGGTGATGAACGATGGCATCGTCTATCGGCCCAACCCTAATGTCCATGTTGCTGTAAAGCAACCCTGTTCCTGGTGAGCTACCTTCCTGCAGAATTCAGTTCCGACCGTGATTAAACACACCTGAACCAATTAATAGTACCTAAAGCAGCACTTGATAATTACAAACAGGTGTGTTTGGTCAGGGTTGCAACTGAAATGTGCAGGAAGGTAGCTCTCCAGAAACAGGGTTGTTGACCCCTGCTGTAAAATCTTGTGCGACCGCCTTTAAGCTTCTCTCCTGACCTTAAAAAAATAATTGGATGAATCGTAGAAAAGCTGAATTAAGATCGTGTGTAGGGTCGAATTGATTAATCGTTATCATGCAGCCTTATATACCACGACTATAATTAAAAAAAAAAAAGATAAATAGTAGACAGCCACTCAGAATTGACTTAGAACAATGCAAGATTTAAAGCAGCATGTTTATAATCAACATAAGCATTTATAATAAAAATAAAACATTCAAGCAGTGTGGACACTAATATGGCTATCTGTACAGTTGTCATTCTTGATGTTGGTCAGATCAAACTTTGCTATAATTTTAAAAGGAATTTACACACCTGCATGTGAGGGAAACAATGATCATGAAGATCTCAAATCAGTTTCACGTTAAAACCAACAAAAGGATGCTTGGTTTTAAAGTTACTTTCTGTGTTTCATTCATTGCCACAATACTCACCGTGCATCATTTTTTGGTGTATGAAATGGATCTTGCCTTTAGCTTTTGGACTGCGTCATTGGTTTTTCTATACAGTACATATTT